TGGGCTGTTTTTAGCGCCATTGCTATTGGCCTGTGCTGGTTGCAGGGGGGTAGCAGAGCTGTCTCTGCCCCCCCACCAAATCACAGCATTCTGTCATATTTTAAGCACATGAAACAAATACTAAAAGCTTGATCCAAAACCCACCAGAAATAACGAGAAATTTCTACTAAACTTCAAATGTGATCATAAATTAACAACAAAGATCTAATCTGCATTTCTTCCTCTGCATTCAGACTTTGAAGTTTGAAGGATTCTAGATAATAATAATAAGAGCCGTCCAGTAGGCAATTCAGTTCACTGAGGTACTATTAAAAAATTCCAACCAGTAAACCGAGTGCACAAGAAACAATCATAATAAGAAATAAACAGTGTTTGTATACAAATGGTGGAAATATGGGTAAGAAAATGGAGGAACTTTACCTGCTTGTGCAAGACATGTATACAGACATTCTAGGGGTAATAAAAACACAGCAGAAACAGTAACTGGAGTCACTGAATAGTATAGGTTCTTCAGAAAGGAGGGAAATGGAGTGGTAGCATTACACAAAACATTAGGATAATTTGTAATGTGAAATGAGTTACATCAATATAACAGATTCTGTTTGGATCAAGCACTTCAAGCATGAAAAAAGTATTTTTTGCAGAATTAATGCTTGCAGAAAATCCCCAGGGTGTCAGATTTGACTCTGCAACATTATTGAATGTAAGTAAGAATCTGTCATTAGAGGATGTTGAAGCTCGCAAATTTCTTCATCAGTCACTAAACCAACAAAAGATAATGACAGTTTAGGTCTGGTTTTTGCTTTGAAATACGTAGATAACAAAACGTAACCTTTGACCAGCGTTCAGACATTGAGTCCATTTACATTCCATGACAAAATAAGTAATGATCAGCAAAATTTAATAAGCAAAACAATCTAGTTAAAGAAGTGAAATATTTTGGGGCTTCATGGATATCTCTGTGAAGAAGACATCAAATTTCATCAAGTGTAACATACTGTGTTGTATCTGACAACAGGGAGCTAGGTTCAGCCATCCAGGAAGTCCCCTCCAGACCTGTGTTCCTAAATTTGTCAGTTAAATGCAAGAGCCTTAAGTAAAGCAGAGGTAATTGTAAGACAGTTTGACAAATTTGGTCGCTGTCGGTGTTCCCTAACATTCTTTGACTCAATGCTGAATTTGGACATCGGCTGCTGGACAGCAGAATCTGTCCTTGTGATTGTGTAGATGTTTAAGATGCAGGGCAGGATATTTATTGTCTACTCTGCTGGGTGTCTATCAAACCTGCCACTTCATCCAGAAAGTCTCATTCAGATGCCTTCTCCGTAGACGAGCCCTCCTGGTCTCCCTCATCTCTGAACAGTCTCATGTAAGATAGGGTTGGTAAGGCATGTGTAGAGTTTGTACAGGCTAGTGAGGAAGATGAAATTGGAGAGAGCACCCTATAGTGAGGATGGTGAAGTACGGAGATGTTCAGCCTGGAGAAGAGAAGGCTCAGGGGGATCTTACTGATATATGTAAATACCTGAAGGGAGGGTGCAAAGAAGATGGAGCCGGGCTTTTTCCAGTGGTGCCCAGTGATAGGACCGGAGTCAAAGGGCATAAACTACAACACAGGAGGTGCCATCTGAGAATCAGGAAACACTTTCTTACTCTGAGGGTGACCAAACACTGGAACAGATTGCCCAGAAATATTGTGGAGTCTCCCTCCTTGGAGTCATTCAAAAGCCGTCTGGACACAGGCCTGGGCAACTGGTCCTAGGTGACCCTGCTTGAGCAGGGGGTTGGACAAGATAACCTCCAGAGGTCCCTTCCAAACTCAATTATTCTGTGATTCTGCAAGCAAGCTCCAGTCATTTTAGTAGGTTTAATTCTAAAAGTCAAGCAAAGTTTGATGCTTAATATAAATGTTCTGCATAACTTCAAAGATACCCACTCACTGTGAAACTGTGATTTCTGGAGGCAGGCTATGGCTTGCTCAGAAAATGAGGCAGGAATTATAAAGGGGATCGCTATTATGCTTGTCCATATGCACCCATTATTACTAAAAGCAGCAGGAGAGAACAGGCAGAAAAGATGCTACAGGAACCTCTCAGGGAGTTTTCCTAAAGTAGAGAGGTTTTGAACTTTGCATTAGCATGGCACTGGCTCTGTAATGCTCTTAACTTATCTCTCTCTTCCTACCAAATGCTGGGTACTTCTCTCTATGTCAGCAATGAGGAACTCAGCCTGGAAAATGAGTTAGGTTTGGAGAAATTCCTACAGTCCAGAGATTTATTTGAAGGATTTCTGAAATTAACCCCTTTTATTCCTCCTTCATGTCTCATGATCTGAAACTGTTTCTTCCCGGTTTAACACCATTGTAACTGTTTCTTTGAGTTGAACTTAGTAAGTCATGCCTTTTTCCCCATCCCTCTTAACCTTCAGCCATAAGTTCTCCATATGACAGTACAGCATTATGGGTCCTAAACGGTTCAACTGTGAGTGAGTTACAACTTCAGAGTGTGCCTAGACATACTATTCATGTTATACCTCAGAAACCACAAAGACCTTTGAAAATGTTGATTCAGGAAATGCTGAAGAATTTTCTGCTGTCTTGTGAGGGATAGTGCAGGGTCATTGTTTGAAGGAGTTCTTACCCAAGACCTTCTAATGCTTAGTTTTAGCTGTTTAGTGACTGGGAAATGGGGCTACTTGGCCTATATGTTTCCTGATTGCACTTCTGGTGCACAAGCTGATTTCTTTTCACTGGAGACCTATGTAATGTCAACTAGTTTATCTGATTTTCTGATTTTTGAAAACCATATTGTTTTAAGTTTTAGATCACAGCTAGTGCTGTACAAATGTCTAATGTGAAGGGGTGAAAACAGACAATGATTTACTTGCCCAACACAATATACGCATTATTCCTTTTGCACCCTGCTTAAGTATTGCAAGAGAGGATGAACAAACAGATTGGTCTCCTCCCACCACATATCTGCATAGCCAGCACTCAGGGAAATAAAGACTGCATGGATTAAAAAGTTGCAAGGGTACTATTAAGGCATAAGCTACTGAAACAGGAGCATGCATTGAAGAGGTCTCAGTTCAACAGTATCAGTCCTATTATGAGCAATGTCAGCCTCACTGCTAATGCGGAAGCCAGGAGTGAGAATGCAGGTAAGATCTTTCTATACCAGGGCATGAGCAAATCGCAATGAACTGCAGCCATTGCCACGATAATTTAGTACAGTATATTCTTTTTCTCTTTTAAATCTTGACTTTTGAAAACTGTTGTACTCTCAGCTGCTTGAGACAGAAGCATTGGAGTTCTTTCAGCACTGCCTATAAAGTGACCTTACTGCTTTTGCTTATAGTTTGAAATCTATTTATGATGCACATTTAAGACAGTATTTGCAGCTTCTAAGAATTCTGTGAATAATATTCACAAACATTTAAACAAAGTCTCTTAGCATTTTTTCCCTAATGCCCTCTGAAGAAATTTTTCTCTGAATCGTTATTTGTGCATATGCAATTAATTACTGTCAGGCTGTTAGACAGGCATATCATGTGGGAACTGACCATTTCGTTTTCACATAGAAACAGCCCTTGCATTGGCATCTTGATGATGCTCTTTTTTCCTCAGTTTGCTTGATTAGATCTTTTGATTGAAGTACTTGAAAGACATGATTTCATAAACACACTTGAAGCAATTCCACACACACCACCTCATCCTCCCTAAATCATTCCCGTTTTATTGCTGAAATTTGAAATACCATTAAAAAGCATTATGTAATGATAGGTCAATTGTTGAACTGTGTACCTTGTAGACATCTAACAGTGTGGTCTGTATAAATTATTTCTTCTTCTTAAGTAATTGTAGGATAATAAGATGATCTTCACTTAGAAAAATACTTTAACTTGTGGACTTCTTTAACTAAACATCCTTCTCCTTTGTTATAAAGATGCATTTTATTAAAGTGGAAACTGACTGTGGATCATCAAACTGTTCTGAATATCTTTTGTACTGATTACTCATTTTTATTTTAATATGCACCTTCACAGTACCATAAAAATTATTTATGGCTGTAAATATCTAGATCTATTCTAACAAAAAGAAGGAACTTGAACTTATTTCTGAACTTGTCAGTAACAGAAGCGTTTGATGTATGAGCAATATGGAGACCCATAAATAGCCTGGTGACTTAAAGTATTCTTCTTTCATATATGCTCTGACTGGTAGCTCTGTACTATACATGAGACAAGATTTGGAGATAAAGATATTATCTTTATTTTTGTTTGACCAACTGGCTTAGCTGGAAGTATTAAACTGATTTTCAGGCATTTGCCTAGATTTTTCTAATAAATCCTATTATACCTACCTACAAAATTTGTCCTGTCATGGTCCTTGAACCATCATGGCTACAACAAAATACCACTAAATATCTCTATGATATGCAAGATACAGTTTAGTTCATGCCTAGAATAGGAAATTACTGTAGTAGTCCTGGATGTCTGATGGCAAGTAATGACATTTAATAGGAAACTGTCAATATCATGATCAATGCAAAAAGTATTTCCTTATGCACATGCATGCACAGTCTTGCATCCCTATTCTTTGATTCTTAAGTCCACAAGTACTTACTATTTCCCTTTTTTTTCCTTTTACTCTTCACCAAACAATGATATTTCTTGATACCAAGCCTCCAATTAAACTTCCATTGTATCTTATAAAAAAGTAATCTGTGGACTACACTGAAAGGTAGTTGGGAAAAAGTGTATGTCTGGATCCAGCTTAATTCTCCAGCTATGAATTTCCACAGTAGTGCTATCATTGTCTATTGGTATTATATTTATTGGCAGACAAACTGTAATTTTTTGTCTCCACTATTTGAGTCAGCATGTTGATCTAATTTATTGTATTTTTTAGTAGAGTTCAATCTCATTAAAAAAAAAATTGCACTGCATATACAGTAACTGAAGTTGTCTCATGCTGTCATTTTTTTTTTTTCTCTTTCTAGGTGATGTCATTGTCTATATTAATGAAGTTTGTGTACTTGGACATACTCACGCAGATGTAGTCAAACTCTTCCAGTCTGTTCCTATTGGTCAGAGTGTCAACTTGGTGCTATGTCGTGGATACCCTTTGCCCTTTGATCCTGAAGATCCTGCCAACAGCATGGTGCCACCCCTTGCAGTAATGGAGAGGCCTCCGGTAGTGGTAAATGGAAGACATAACTATGAAACTTATTTGGAATACATTTCTAGGACTTCTCAGTCTGTTCCAGACGTAACAGATCGACCACCACACTCCTTGCACTCCATTCCAGCAGATAGTCAGCTTGATAGCACATTCCCACCACCTGCCCATGATGATAATGTATCAATGGCTTCTTCTGGGGCCACCCAAGCTGAACTCATGACCTTAACCATTGTGAAAGGGGCCCAGGGCTTTGGCTTCACTATAGCAGACAGTCCTACAGGACAGAGGGTGAAGCAAATTCTAGACATTCAGGGATGTCCTGGTTTGTGTGAAGGTGACCTCATTGTTGAGATCAACCAGCAGAATGTACAGAACCTGAGCCATGCAGAAGTAGTGGATATACTTAAAGAATGTCCTGTTGGAAGTGAAACTTCTTTGATTATCCATAGAGGAGGTAAGTTTGGAAAGTCTGTACCATTACAAAAATGTGTGTAAAAGGTTCTAAACCGTAAGACATACATATACTCACTACATTCTTGTGTGCTAGATCGGAAATTAATTTCCATGTTATGGGAGGTAACACCATTGGTTCTGGAAAAGTGTGTCTGCAATTAAGTATCCTAGGCAAAATCTAACAGTTTGTTGTACATTCCTTTTTGTGTTTTTAGTGTCAATGATTCCACCTCTGTATAAGGGTAAAACTAGAACAGTTCCAGACTTTTCACCTCGTGATAGTTTGTATGGTGTCTGCAGCAAACTCTTATAGTCCCAAAGCACTGCTGCGAGCTTTAGATATAATTGTATATATTGACTCATTATGGTAGATCAAAATCAGAGCAATCTTTTAGCCCTTTACAAGGTTACTGGTTTTGATAAGCCATTTTACCTCCTTTTTCTTCATTGTAAAAGAAGTATTGTACAACAGTTGTTTTGTTTCTTTCTTGACAACAAAGATCCATACTATATTTTTCTCTCTTTAAAAAAAAATAGCTCTAGCAACTTAGTTTTTCTGACCAGCCTGACACAGTAAGCTTGAATACACACCACTGGAAGGGGAGAGTCAAGACTTATCTGTAAGGAAGCAGTAACAACAGAATACCTTGACAGTGATAAGTAATTTGATAGCTTTTAATATTTTAGCCAAGCAAATTTTCTTTGATATTTTGAGATGAGCATCCATCACAATTTATTATTACCTGAAGTGAATAATGATTGAATTTCTTTAATTCAAGATCTTTGTTCCTCTAAAGGGATTCATGTGTCACTGAATATACGTGACTGTGTTTCAAAAGAAAAAAAAAAGAATTCTATACAAAAATACTAATTGCTTTCCTTCTGAAGAATAGAGGTTGGGAAGTGAATCATTAGTGTTTGCATATGCAAAATGTTTGTCATTAGAAAACCTACAAATCATTAGAACCAAGAATATAGTAACATTTTAATCAAATTGCAGAAATAATAAACATAAGATTATTTAAATATCTGTAGATTGACATTATAAAGCATTTTTCATATCTATATTTAAAAGAATGATTTTGTAGGAGACAGAATCTGATATTTCTTTGGAATGAAATCTAATTAAGAGTGATAAGTAAAGGCCAATTGGTGTCACTATAGTATATGAACTTTGGGAAAGTTAACTGTTACAGAGGTGCTATATTAGTTGGTATTACATCTGGTTTTATTTAACACCCATTAAGAATCTGGAACAGTGAATTAAGCAACATTTTTTTCTGCAGATGCTGAGAAATTAGGGAAAATTGCATAGCAAAAAAAGACTGTAAAGGGGATTAGAAGGGTTAATGTAACCCCAAAAGATAGGATTTTATTTTGAAAAATGCAAGCTAATCCTCCTCTAGAGGAAAACAATTCAGAACACCAATCTTCAGAGAGAAGTGGAGTGTGAAATCCAGTATGCTGAACAAGCCTGAGTAACAATAGACAGCAAAATAGATATTTCAGCAATCAGTGCAGGACAGTGGCAAAAAAAAACCCTGAAGCAGCAACATACTCAAGCCCAGGAAGATAATTCCTCTCTCTCATGAGAATTTCTTCTTAGAGCATCGATTCATGATCAAAACAAGTTGATCAACATGATAGTTTAACAAGTTCTGGTACGTTAACTGAGTGGTTATTTTCTACAGATTGCTGTGGCAGATAGGAGATACTGCACTGAACTCAACCCTCAGTAAATAAATTTACACCATCTTGTCTTTTGTCAGGCCAAGCATGGCGGTACAGATAGTTGCCCTAGCTCAGTCAACACTAAATACTAGGTCCAAATGCAGTAACGTGTTCCGGGGTCTTATCCCTCTGTTGCTGGGGCAGGGGGTGGCTGGTTGCTTTAGAGAATACAGAGAAGGGAACAAGAGCATGTTTTGTTCATGGTAAAACAATGACCAAGACTAAAGCAACTGTTTGAAAGTACTACAGAGTGATTAAACTTAATGGGATGATACAGAACAAATGCAAGTTTACTATCAGAAATTTCTGTACATCAGAAATGAGTATACCTTAATGCAAGGTTGTTAGACTCAGAAATTAAAGAAAAGGCTCATTTGATTCAAAGGAAGTGAAAAAATACAGTGTATGAGACAAACCTACTCTACCTGAGAGACAGCTAAATCATAGCTTAACAGAAATATGAGAACTGTTTTAAGGTGACAATCTGGGGTGTTTTTTTCATAAATTCATAAAAAAAAGGGAATCCATGTGATGAAATATACATCTGTAATGCAGGTGATTATATCTATGCTAGTTGTCATGTCTCCTTTTATAGTCCCTGGGCAGAAATAAGCCTTTCTAGGGTGCAATTCATGCCATTCCAATGTAGATGTTTCAAATAAGTCATGTGTACCCTAAAAGTATATATTCTGCTTGACTGACTATAAAGGGAATTGAGGATGACTGGTTCAGATGTATGTGTCTATCCCACGTGTTATGAATAAGAAACAGATGATAAGATTTGGTCATGTGAGATAATCTGAATACCAAACAAAATTCCAGTACTTAGAGGAACCTGCTATGATTCTAAAATATTTAGTCTGTGACACTGGTGAAGCAAGACATACTTTCTGGTTACTCATAGATCTGATTTTTATTTGATTATCTCTAATGTGTAATGTCACTTGAATAATACCATCCTTTTCCATCATTACCCTATGCATCCTGTATTTAGTGTCTCATTTTTAAGATTAAGACCAAAGAACTATTGCTGCCCATGGAAGATGAAGGCTGTGTTTTGCATAAGGTTGTGTGTTGCCTTGTAATGTATTCTGTCTCTGATACGAGTATGGCCTGACTGCATAGTTCACTGTGGCAAATCCATTTTTGTAAGAAGTGACTTAATTTCTCTCTCCCATCCAGCAACCTTATCTACATTGCAGACAAGAAACAGATCGATATTGGCTGAGATATATTCACACTATAGGAAAAAAGCATCTTATACAGGAAAAAATGCTCTCTCTTATGCATATAGTATGCATGCTACAGCATTTAAAAAGCCATTGTCCCTCAAGCCTAGAAGGTCAACAGCCAGAGAGTGCAGGGAAAGGAAAGGTCTGCATGGTTCAAAAAGATGGAGGGAATAGCAGTACTCAGATTTAGAGAGGCCACTAAAGAAAACTGTCTGAACCAACACCAAACAGAAACTTGTCATGGGGTACAATCCAGCTGGAGGATGTCCCATTGAATCTGTAGTGTACTCATTTTAAAATTTCTAAAGCAGAAGTAGTAATTTACCTGCTTGTTAAAAAAAAATAATGGAAATAAATATCATTGTATATCTAAGAAAAATACTAAGCAGCACTTGTTTAGAAGACAACGACAATACTCTGTGGCTAGAGATCTTACAATCTTCTTTCTTAGTCAGGTTCTTTGCTAAACAGAGATGCGCTGCTTGGTTTGGTTTCTTTGCATCTGTTTTTTGCTGACCAGCCATATAGTTTCCATTGATTACTATAAGCTGACAGAAGTGTTCATGCTGGGGAAAAAAAAAAAAAAAAGGAAAAGATGGTGGGAAAGTGTTGCCTAAAAAAAAAAAGTAAAAATTAATAGAAAAAAAGATATGAAAGTGTTTGTTCATTACCCAAACATATTTACCCCTTTCTAGCTTTGCTTCAGTTTAATTCAGCCTTCACACATCATCCTCAGTTTTTGCAGCAGTCTGCATTGAGTATAGGCTGCTGAAATAGTATGGAAGAGCTCTCAAAAATCAGTCCATCCAAATGTGGATAGAACAGAATTCTGCATTAGTTCAGAAGTACTGAAAAACAGCACTACGTGGTTGAAGCAGTACATACCAAATTTATGTAGAACAAAATATTCACTAATTAGGACATCAAAAATTGGTTTTGGCATGTTCTACTAAGTGAGCTATCCAAGTACCTGACATGTGCCATCTCTTTGGGAAAGTACCTTGAAATATATGAACCTATAGACAGCAGCCCAGCCCCAGAAGTGTTCCTGTCTGAAAAAGAACTGACACATTCAAATGTAGGTCCATCAAGACTATGTCTGAAATACTGTTGTTAAGGAAATCTGAAGATAATCCAGGACTGATTCATGAAGCTATGGCAACCCCCTAAACAAGTGCTGTGAGTGAAACATTAAAACTAAATGCAAAAAGTGGGAGCCTGACAAAGTTCCTACATCAGATGGCTGCTTTATAATGGTGGAATCCAAACAGGCTCTGAGAAACCAAGGCTGTTAGTATGAAATGGAGACAGAGAACTGATGCACTGTCCATACTGGTTAATTGTTAGCCCAGTCCTGGCATGCGACTGGAAGAAGCCAGCAGCCGCTTCCACCCTGACATGATATGGGAGATAGTGTGGACCACACGCAGTGCACAATCAGTCAAGATGAGGAGGGAGAATTTAACTATGTAGATGTAAAGTGTGAGGATAAAAGGATGGCCAAGTACCTTTCTCAGATTTTGTGTAAACCCCAGTAGAAGTTTATAACTCCTTAAGACTGCTAACAGATACCAGTATAGCACACAAAGCATCAGCAATTTCCAAAACAGCCAGAAACTTCACCAAAAAAAAAATCTCTGCATATTCATAGAATCATTTCATAGAATCATACAATGGTTTGGCTTGGAAGGGACTTCAAAGATCATCTAGTTCCACCCCCCCTGCCATGGGCAGGAACACCTTCCACTAGAATTCTAGTGAATAAGCCTAGCCCCTCAGGATGAGCAGACTTCAATGGAAGGAATACTACATCTTTGGTGCCCTTTCCGTGGACTGATCTCAGATTTACCTCTCTACCATAGAGACAAATTATTTTTCTATTTTTTTGTCCTGGCTTGCTATATGATGTCTTTCAGTTCCTCTGGTCAGGAAAGCGCATACTTCTTTTTTCTACAGGTTGTCCTCTCTCTTGAGAAAGCTGCACAAGATGAAGCTGCAGGCAGCATCATCAGTAGTCTAACACTAGTCTGGCCCAGGCCCTACTGATCTCCTGCTTCCACAACCTCAGCCCACTACTGAGGTCTCTAGAGCTTTGACTCTGCTTCTGCAGATCTTCATTCAAAATATTAAGACAGTACCTGGTGCAAACTGGAGACCTTGTATCTCATGGCTTGCTCATCCCCAGTTCAGGACTTTCTAGTCAACAGTACTGAGGGTTTGAAGAAATGGGTTGTTAGGAGGATAGTGTAGGTTTTTGATTTGGGACTTATGGAGGTTTTCTATCATCCTGCTGTCTCTACTCTTTTACATCCCTGAGTCATTGGTGATTTTTTTCCTTCTGGTCGCCTCCTAAAGGAACCCAGTCTTGGTTTAATTGCTTCTTATGTGTACTCTGAATTAATAGCAGCCTCTTTGTGCTTACTTTGTTCATGAAGGTACGCTTCTTTCTGTTGTCTCTGACA